TTCGAATTCGCCGATCTATTGCCACGAAGTATCGTCCCGATAGTTCTATCAGAGAAAACGAGCTCCTCTCGAATTCGACGCGAATTCGTTGTGTTTATTGGGCATTGCAAATACACAATTGTTTTCGCAAAATAAAATTACTTACATAAGTATTTAAATACAAATTTATGACTTCAAAAGTAAACACCCGTAAGCACTCAAGATTTAAGGGATTTTCCTAAGTAACCTAATTTATGACAGCAGTGTGACCTTCATCTATTTTTTTATGCCAGCTAAAATCGAATCACGAAAAAATATCCAAATTTTTTTATAGCGTTCCACTTTGCACTTAATTGACTTGTTCTATTTTCTGACACAACACTTGGACCATTTCCCTACATATCCATTGGCACATTTTCATTATGTTCGATATTGTTTGCATAAGTACAAGTATAAAAACACATGTATGTATGTATATATGTATAAACATACGACTAAATCGGTATATATATAAATATATATGTCAATATGTTTGAAGGAAATCGCCCTGCTTGCGAATGAAAATGTAGTTCAAGTACGCAAAATTGTTCGCATCGAATTTATAATTAAATATTAACATCGTGCCAATACCGATTGGACAGAAGAACGGAAGGCGTAGTCTATTATGGATCTCAAAAAAGATGCGTCTTCGCGCAACTGAAATCACCAGCAGAAGATGCTGTCAATTCAAGCTCTATATATGTATGTCTGTATATCAACATAGCTGCCGCCGCTGCCACCGCAGCCACATTCATTGCCATTACGGATCTCCCAGTGACCATAACACGCTTCAAAATGAGGCATCCACCAGGGGAAGCAAGTGGCAAGCGGTAGGGCGAGTAGTGGATAAAATATTTATGCATTGAACATTCGGAAATAAAAATGCCAATTCTGAAAGGCAATTAATGAAATTTCTTCCAAAAAAAAAATCAAAACACATTAAAACAACAAAGTTTCTTACAAAAACATGAGTACGGAAACAACAAAAGTGCAAAAACATTTGGGCAACATCTGCTTCTCGTAAACGCAAGTAAAACAAGAGCATGCAGCGCAAAATAAGGCATCACAACACGCAACCGCAATTGAAACTTTCAAATGTGGCACTCTTGGACGGACAGACACGGGAAAACACCTCTGTTAATATGTACGTTAGGGTGGTCCAAAAATACATGCGGGAGGAATAAAAGTTTAAGATGTTGAGCTCTCTCAACCTAGGATTTTTCTAAATCGAAAAAAAGAATATCTCTATTTTTTTATAAAAAAATTTATATGTAGAACTGCTTCAAAGCCCATGACGTTTTCCATGTATTTTATATGGGGGAAACCACGTTTTCGTAGAAATGGTATAGAATTCTTGAAAATCAATATTTTTCGATCGGAAAACTCTGTTTCTCTTTAGGAGACTTCCATTAACAATACCCAATTGTTTTCTTTATCATTGTTTTTAATTAATTTTTTTTATAGGTCTTTCGAAAACCCCAAAAATGTAACGGGGTGACCCAAAAAAAAATCTTAAGTATTAAAAAATGCTAAAATAAGCACTGATTATTATTTTTGGAATTATATTGCAGAGAACAGAGATTTCCGATCGAAAAATATTAATTTTCGAGAATCCTATACCATTTCAACGATAAGTGTTTTCCCCTATATAAAATACATAGAAAAGTTTACGAGTTTTAAGGCATTTATAAATATAATTTTCTTTTTTAACAAAAAACTACGGGTATTCTTTTTCCCTATTTAAAAAAATCCCAGAGGTGAGAGCTTAACATTTTAAACTTTTTTTTGACCGCCCCAATGTACATATGTACATAAGTATGCACATTTTCATTCTTTTTTTTTGTTTTAGTTTCAATTGGCAATGGTAAACACACGGCAGACAATCGAGATTTATTTTAATTAACTTGCTAGAGTAGTTAATTATTTACTTTCATAATTTGTTTTGCTTTTAGTTTTTCCATAATTAAGTAATGTGTGGTATTTTTTTGACTTAAAAATTTTGGTATTTTAGCAATTCCGCATGTAAATAAATAAATGAATAATAGCCTTTCACATTTTTAGTGTTTGACAGAAATTCTGCTCCAAATGGAGGGCCTACAAATGTTATGCCATCGCCGAATAGCAAATGGTTTCTATAAGAAGCTTTTCTATGGCAGAAATACACTTACTATTTTGCTGTTACTTCTGGTAGCTAAAGTGTCAAAAACTGTTCAGATTTTTTTGTTGTAAATCAAAGTGTGCAATGTTAAATAAAAAAATATATAAATTAAATTTGGAAAAAAAAGTTGGTGCGACTTTCTTTGTTAGTAAATTAGTTTGCAACTTGTTGCATTTATGCATCATTTGCAAAGCCCAGTAATTAGCGTTTTTGCTGCTGAGTTACACAGAGGGAAATAATGCATAGCAAAACTGAGTATTTTATGTTTGATTTTCGTTTAAAAATTTTCGTATTTTAAAATAATGTTTTCCAAGGCGAATTTATATAAGGTGGTGTTGTTGATTGTGAGTAGCGTTTGATTGTCAAAATTTTGTATTTCGCTAGTGAGTGAGTGAAAAGGGAGAGTGTTTGTATTTTTTTTTTCACCTTTTTCATTCTGGGAAGAATAGCTGAAATTTTACCGCTGAAAGCAAAAACAAAAACCAGTAATTGTTGTATTTATAGAATCAATACCACCTTATATGAATTCGCCATGATATTACATCTGAGTATTTATGTATATGTACTAGCTCTCCTACCATATAATAAATAATAAATAAATGGGTTTAAAACCTACTTTTTTATTAAAAGTGACGTTTTTATTTTTTCTCACTGACGTCAGGATTTATTTTTGAGGACTTTGTAATTTTAATGATATGATTAATTTCAAAAATTATTTAAAAAATTCAACGAAACTTAGAATAAAAATATGAGTACCAAATGAAAGAGGAAATTTCTTAAGAATTAAAAAAAAAAATAAAAATATCGATTCACAAGGACGAATAGGTAATTTTTTAAGCTAATAAAGTTAGAAGGACAAAATTCGGGGATTTTATCGAGCTTTTAAGTCCTTAACATAAACTTTTCAAAAAAAATAAATATTGCAAAACTTTAAGGATACAATTTTAAAAGACCATTTTCAATACTTACCCGTCCTTAAGAACCAAAAAATATAATCTATTTAAATTCTACAGAATGTTCTCTTTAATTTGGTTCCTATACTTTTTCTCTAAGCAAATTTCAGTGAATTTTTTAAATAATTTTTTTTATTTTTTTTATTACTAACATTAGAGTGAAAAACTCAAAAGGCAATTTTACTATATTTGGCCCATGGTTTTTGATTTATTTTTGTGCGTAAAATTTGCTATCGCACGTTGTTATATGTACACATATTGAGCTAGATATTTATAAAAAAATATTAATTATTAAATAAAAAAAAAAAGAAATGTAGCCACCATTTGTCAAGAGAAGGAGTTTCTATTATTGCCATCAGTGCAAATTACAAATCCCGAAAATCCCGAGATTATTTGCTAAGAATTCCGCGATTTTCGGAACCTAAAAAAGTCCAGGATCCCGAAATTAACATTCCTAGTAACGACTCGACGAAATGCCCATAAATGGATTGATCTTTTTGTTTTATTAATTTCTTGCGCATATCCAACAATATCCGAAACATGTCAACTATAATTAAATTAGTTCCTTCTTAATTTTTACACTACAGATTAAGGAAGTTCCGACGTTACGTACGAACCTTAACAAAATACTAAAGTATTTTCACAAAATACATGAAGAATAATTATCGAACACCAAGTTACCGACCAGTGAGATGACCACTATTACAAATTTGTATGCTCGGAATTGAAAATTCAGTACAAATTTAAAAAAAAAAACAGGACATTAGGGTACTGATTGAAGACATGAATAAAATTAGTACGAGAGTTGAAAAATAACTACTGTAATGATAAATCAGTACATCTGGCAACGGTAGACACACGTCCCTGTTGGCAGTCATAACTTTGAAGGAGTGAAGGACTCTTTTTTTTTAGGATCCACCTTAAACACCACCAATAATGTCAGTCTGGAGATAAAGCGAAGAATAACTCTTGCCAACAGCTGCTACTTTGCGCTCGGTAGGCAATTGAAAAGCGGAGCCCTCCTTCGACGAACAAAAGTAACGTCCTTTTATATAGCGCAGAAACATGGACGATGTTTAACAAAGATGAGATGGTTTTGGGGGCTTTCGTGAGAACTATTCTTCGCAAGATCTATGGGCCGTTCGGAATATTGAACTGTACGAGCTTTTTAACGACATGAACATAATTCGGCGCATAAAAATACAACGATTGCGCTGCCTTGGACATATTGTACGCATGGATGATGACACTACTGTGAAAAGATCCTTCGAGAAGCAATGGGCGCTCACGACCACAATGGAAGGACCAAGTGCATTCCCTCCACGCGCATTTACAAATATGCGACGCCTTCGCCAAAAATTTTAAAATGCAAGAATACCATCTAGCGCCCTCTTCGCTAGACGGAGGCGGTTGGCATTCAAACGGTTGAGATAAATAAGCCTTTGTTCCGAACAATCAACTTACGGACATATGCTTAGCCAAGGTCAACACCCATACCACAGTGGTGTTTTTCTGTAGTCGATATATAAAATGCAGTTTCTTGTGTTTGTTTGCCCTTGCTGCGCAGCAATTAATCTATAACAGCCTGTTTTCGATCAATAAAGATCACTTTGAAATAAATGATCGCTGACAATCAACACAATAGCTGAAATAATAATATTTGTGCCATGGATTATTGACTAAGCAGTAACGCATTAGGAATTAAAATCTGTTTCTCATTGGTTTTGCACATCACTTAAATATGCACAAAATTATTTCATATACTCACATTCACTTCTTCAATTTAAAATCTGAATATTTAGACAATACAAATACATACATATTTACTCAAACAACAACAGTGCACTACAGCTATCACATCAGATCCACAATCATTTATTTTGTAACTCGCAAATGATGCGTTGTATTTCGTGTTCATCGCTGATGTTCACCTTGCCCGAACCCACCTTGCTAATGAAAGCCTCCATAATGAAAGGAAGCCGCTGCTTGGCGCTCAGCCGGTGCCACATGATCAGCGTGCGTTCCAGTTGCCGCTTGGCACTGCGTTTATTTGATTTCTTATCGACCACGTAAAAGCGTTTGAAGTTCTCGAAAGGATCCTCACAGAGTATCTCATTAGAGAGCGCAGCCCAATAGAAAGGTAATTTCTGCCAACTCTTCAAATCCCACCAATTCGGAAACTTTCCACAGGGATTGTTGCGCATGTGCAAATTTAGTGTCTCCCACAATTTTGTTGCACGCTCTTCAATACACTGCAGCTCCAGTAAAGTTGAAGACGAGCATTTATCAGCAATTTTCGAAACCACCTGCTTGCAGACCGCCTCGCAGGGACACTCGTTTGCGTCTGCCATTTCTTCTTCATCATTTTCATCACGCTGTGGTTCGGCTTTCAGGTTATCCAGCAAAGACTCACTCTCATTCATACAGTCGTCGGAGCTCACCTCCTGCTGCCTTGACTCTCTTCTACATTCATTATCTTCCTCCGACTGCACCAATTCCGCGCAAAACTCCGCCCACTGGTTATCTTCATCATCGCCATTTGTGATTTGTGGTCGCGGCTCGTAGACATTTGAAATGCAATTCTCCACCGATTCTGTGAAGTGTGGTGTTGAAGCGCTCATACAACAAAGAAAACAGTCGCTGCCCTTTCCGAAAATTTTGGCCACATCGAATTGCAGAAAATACAAAATATGTTCGATAATCACGTCCATCGTGGTACTCAAATTTTGATATCGCAGGAAGTTTTAATTATTGGCACTCAAAAAGAGTTTAGCGTTCAGTTAGTATATTCACTTTTTATTTTATTATATTTTCCACTTATTATAATTTTTATTTTTGCTTATTTGCTTTAATGTTTGTCGAATGAAGAACCTCTTGAAAGTTCGCATTTCTTAATTTGAAATAGAAATTGTGACAAAAGTGTCAGAAAAGCTTTTAGATAGAAAAGTATTCAAGCAATGTATTTAACGACAATAGGGTTAATGAAAATAATTCATGGTGTCTAGTGCTTCCTTAAAAAAAAGTCAGTGCGCCTGGGCCACACTGGAAAAGTGAAAGTTACGTTACATATCTATTTTGTCTTATAACCAATATACATATTTACATATATACATTCATCTGCTTTTGCTTAAAATTATATTTTTTGTCTTTTTTCTATCTAGATCCCTACCTTTATTACCCTTGTTCATTCTAATTTCATTTAGTATTTTCCTTAAGCTTCATTTTTATATTTATACTCTATCGATATCAAAATCGATAGAAACAACCAATAACATATTGATAATAAAACCGATAAAAGTATCGAGAACAAAATCGACGACAAACTCGACAAAAATTTCTATGGCAAAATCGATAATAACATTGATAGCAAAATCAATTAGAAAATCGATAAAAATATCGATAACAAAATAGATAAATAATCGATAAAAATATCGATAACTATATCGGTAACAAAATAGAAAACAATATCGGTAACAAAATTGATAAATAATTGATACCGAAATCGATAAATAATCGAAAACAAAATCGAAAAATAACCGATAACAAAATCGATAGCAAAATCGATAAAAATATCGATAACAAAGTCGATAAAAATATCGCTAACAAAATCGATAACTAAACCAGTAAAAAAAACGATAAAAAATGCCTTTGGTTTTTGTTATTTTATAGCCTTATAACAATTATATTCAACAGTTTTTATTGAACTCGAGGCCGTTTTTTAATGAAAACTGGTAGAAAATGGTAGAAGTGATAGCTATTTCGGAAATCACTATATTTCCTCATCACACTTCTTTCAGTAAGATTCGAACCGACGATCCAACTGACTCAGCCAGTTGCCTACGCACTGTGCTAAGTTCGCCTTGTTAATTCTTGTTGCTTATTTCCACTATTTCCACTGCGCTTGATTGTGGTTGGCTTAACAAGTGAAATAGTGGAAATAAGCAACAAGAATTAACAAGGCGAACTTAGCACAGTGCGTAGGCAACTGGCTAAGTCAGTGGGATCGTCGAGTCTCTAAAATCCCAAAATAGTTCCCAGATTGAGTCTCTCTGTCTCTACGTACATATGTATATCCTTTTCTCTATAATTCCCCTTATTTTAATCTTTCTTCCTCTAACTTCATCTTTACTTTTATCCTCACCCTCAACTTTTTCTTATTTATCTTTGTTTTTACTTTTATATAAATCATTTTCTTCATCTACATATTTCCCTTCACCTTTGGCCTTATACATATACGTAAAGTGTTTAAATTTACCTTGTTCTTCCTTTTTGGCCTTTATCTTTACGCATCTTTGTTTTTGCTTTTATATTTACTTTTGCCTTTATCTATGTACGTAGTCACTTTTTCTTACATTCTTATATTGGTCTTTTTCTAAGTTTTGTTTTAATTAATACCATATGCATACACACAAGAAGCACTTGTTTCAGCCCCAACCATTTCCGTAGCATCGTTTCCGTGTGCAATTTCCGTTGAATTTGGCAATTTACTCTCCAACCTCCCAACCGCCGCTAAAGAAGTTTCACTTCAAAAAATTAAATTTGTCAAAGCTACTCCTCCAATAAAAGACTGGATGTCGCCACACAAATGCAGTCTCCTAGAGTTTTTACACCACTTTCTGGGTGGGTTTAATAGCATAGGAATACACTTTGCGGTGGCGGACCTCTCCTAAAAATAATTTTTTGGTTGCTGAGAAGAGGAACAAAATCTGGGCCCTACTAAGTAGAACTAAGCCCTTCCAAACCATAAGCACAGCGTCTAATTATATAAATTCACTGTCAATAAGCTGCTTCAGAAATAACAACTATTTCGCTATTGACTCACTGACAGAGTCAGAAGAGTGTGACGGGAAAAAAAACTTAATGTGACCAGTCGGTAATTCCACAGTATGCTCAATGAAAGCCGACAGCTAGCTAAAACTTCTAAGGTTAAGGCAATGTACATAGCCCACTTGCAGACATTTTTGTCTTTTAAGGATTACCAATTTTCTTGCGCAACTTTGCAGCTCCAATGAAAGTAATTTAAACCGGTTACGAGTTTTTTAGGCCCGTTTCCCTAAGTATGCCTTAAAATTTATCTCCCCTTTAAGCACAAATTTTGTTCTGAAAAAGATGTGTTATTTAGAAGGGCAGATCAATTTTAGAAGCTGCTTAAGAAAATGGCACTTGAAAAGTCCGTATATTTCGGACCACCTTTGTTATGTAGTCATCAGTTTTATTGCCAGGTACTCCAGTTTGACCAGTTACTTCTTCTACGTCATCTTTTACATTAACAACGAGTGAAAAGTGAAAGTGTGCGAAATAAGTAGCTCAAATGGTACAGATGGTCTACGTTAACAGAAATAATAAAGATTTCTGCATTGCCTGTAAACGCATATACATCATCATACGCCCAATTGCATTTGTGGATTGCGAACAATATCTGATGAAGTATCCTTCGTAATTGCCAGCCAGATGTCAGATATCCCGGAAAACGAGATGCAAATAGGATATCCCAGTTTAAACCGGAAAGAAGTCGCAGAGAAAGAGAGACGTTTCTCTATAAAAAATCTGACAAAGGCGTTGCGATGAATCGGAAAAAGGTAAGTGGATTCACAAGCTCATTCCATGCATTAGAAATGGCTGGAAAGAGCCCACGAAAAATTCAAACTACTATTTAACGCACTTTATTTCGAGACATGGTCCCTATCGACAGATTTGGGCATGGTGGTTCCGCACACTGCCCCACTTGCATAGGTCTTATAGAAAACGTGGAACACATACTATTCTTTTGTCCGCAATATGCACCTGATATCCGAAGTATTGTTGAAATCAACAGACAATTGGTATGAAATATGAGCACACATCTCTCGAATACTTAAATATTTAGGACAATCAGAACCATCTAGAACCGGTTAAATAACTTAGAGAGCTTATTGGCCAGGGGTTTCTTTCGCCAAAATATAATGCCATGTTGACTTATTATGTCCGCCAATTTCTTACAACTACAAAACATGTTCTAATCTCTACCATATTCCAAAGGAATGGCGCAAAGCTACGGTTGCCCTTATATATTTAAACGAAGTAAATAAGACTTCGTATGTGATACTAATGGATGTAAGACTATTAAGCTTTATAAAAGCTCCTCATAAAATTCTGGTTTCCTATATCCGAGACAATGTCTGCATACATATTCTAAAGCAAAGTCTATGGAAACGGTCTTCTGTATAAAATTTAAAATGGTGTTGCCGTTGGTAAGATGTTTTTTTTTTTTTTTGTTTGGAGAAGAACTATTATCTCGGAATTTTACTGTCACGATATTGGTTATGAGACTCCGCAGTACCGGCCGTCCGGTCATAGCTTCCTGTTAAGTATCAAGCCCAAGTACTTAACCCTGTCAGAAAGCGCCAGGCGAAATCCCCCCTACCGAGAGAGGATTGACACCTTGTACCTGTGTGTGAAAAAAACAAGTTCGATTCTACTAGGATTTACAGCAAGTCCGCAGTTCGCAGTTCGCAGACCATCTAGTCACCACGTTCATGTATTTAGCATAGGCAATAACCCGGCACCCCCTGCTCACAAACTCCTCTAGTAGGTCGTTTGCGACCACAATCCCGAGAAGGGGTGAGAGAATACTACCCTGGACCGTGCCCATATTTACGCTGGTACCACCCCACTCCTCTGAGACAATTCTGTCACTGATTATGCGGTGTATGAGCCTAACAAGCTTGGACCCCTAGCTTAATCGGGGATCTGACTATTGTTCCCAGTAGTACATTGTTAAAGGCCATGTTGAGCTTCCGACAGGCGATCGCGAGGGGTCCTATTCCTAATATGCAGATCAGCCTCTCCGAAGAGAGGGTTATTGGACTGAAATGCTTGGGAGAGATGTGAGAGTTTTTAGCTTTGTCGTCGTTCTTCGTTCAGTATTTTACCGACATGCAACCCCTATACCATTTATACCTATGCTAAGGTTCCACTACATGGATAATGTAGTTATTAGCGCGCAAAACGACTTAAGTGTGTCGCTCTGACTTATGTACAATATTTTGAAAGTCAACTGTGTAGAGAAATATAAACAATATTAGATTAAAAATTTAAAACTTCACAACTAAATTGGAACTAAAAGTGTTAATCTCGTCTTGAATGGATACAGTTTCGCCGAAAATTTTCATAATCACATTTTAAACATCGCGAAATAGAAATGTACGGTCTGTTGTAAGCATAAAAGGATAAAGTAGTTTTCTGCACTTTCATACAAACATAAGTACTAAATGTATGCATTTGTACAAAAATTTCTCTAAGCATTTACGTGACATTGATATCTCTCCAACGTGTGCATTTATGGCAAAAAGCTTTTTGTCTCACAAATTCACATAAAAAGACAAAAACAACGTAGAGGCCCCGAAAATGCAAAGGACACCAACAAAGCTAAAAGACAACATAGTAGCTATTGATGCGTTACACATCCTGCAATAGTAGATATACATACAAATATATGTACATATGTATGCGAGTATGTGTATGAAGACCTTTCCTCATTGGATGCGTTCCAAAATGAAACTTAAGTTTCTGGTCAAATGAATTTGGCAAGGTAACAAAAAGCCACACATGCATTTTCCATATTACCAATGAAACAAGTTTGGTATGTTTCCATGCACCGCTTAACTTATGGCACACGCACAGACAAATTTACGTAAAATTCCAAATGAATGAATGTGGATATGCATACCCG